TTGTCTGAAAACCCGACCAAGGCTGATGCTGTAAATGTGCACCAGGTTCAGAGACAAACCACCAAGTGCCTCTATAGCAACGTAAGGGGACTAAGGGGTAAGCTGTTAGAAGTCAGGGATATGCGCTCTCAGATGGATCTGAAGATCATAATCCTAACTGAAACATGGCTATCCCCCGACATTGCAGACGCAGAAGTGGGCTTGCCAGGCATGACACTCTTCCGAAGTGATAGGGAACACCAAACTGGAGGCGGAGTGGCTATATATGTAAATAGCCACTTAAAAGCAGAGCGGCTACACAACACCCAACTAACTGAGGTGACAGAATCATGTTGGTGTTGGTTCCACTCAAATGGCACGAAATACTTGATTGGCGGGATCTACCGACCTCCTTCGGGTACTAGGGCCCAGAAAAGCAAACTGGTTGAGGTAATTCTGCAACTGCCACTCCTAGGGTTTGATCAAATACTCTTAGCCGGAGACTTCAATACCCCATCTTTAAATCTCAGCAACCAGAGTATAACTCCCACTGGTTGGTTCCAAAGACAACTTGGTACAGCCATTAGAAGCTCTGGCATGACTGAGCATGTACGCAGCGCCACTAGGTGGACTAAGGAAGGGAAGTCCTCAAACCTAGATTATCTGTTAACGAACGACCAGCTCCTGGTTGAGGATGTTAACATCCGCGCTCCAATAGGTAGTAGTGACCATGGCACAGTCCTGTTTAACATGGTCACAAACGAAACGCTGACACCGGACAATAACGAGCCTTACCTCTGCTACAGTATGGCAAGCTACACACGCATGAGAGAGGTGCTCCTACGTGCCCCATGGCCACGGGAGTGGCGGAGGCTGACAGTAGATGATCACTGGCAAGCAGTGAGAGATATCATCCAAAACGCTGTCGTAGACAACGTACCTCAATCACACCCGAAACGCCAGAACAGAAGAACCTGGGTTAGGCGCGGCACGGAACGCTTGCTACAGGCGAAGAGGAAAGCCTGGCACAAGTGGAAGGTCTCCTTGAAGGATTCCGGTCGCAGTTCTTACTTGGCATTGAGAAACAGATGCAATACCAAAGTTCGAAGCGACAGGAGACAATTCCAGACGATACTAGCCGCCAGAATAGAGGCAAACCCGAAACATCTGTTTAGGTTCATGTCCAAAAGAAAACCTACTAATCAAGGGTTGTGCCCCCTAAAAGGGCCTAACGGAGAAGACCTCACCAACCTAGAGATGGCCGAAATCTTCAACACCCATTTTTCTGATCAATTAAACCAGGCGCCTACATGTTCAGAGTTTTACGCCAACCCAATGCCAGCTGACGGCTTAGGGAACATCCGTATCACTCCTGACCTAGTATTAAGGAAACTAAAATCCTTATGCCCAGGTAAGTCACCAGGTTGTAACAACATCCGCCCTATAGTCTTGCAACAGTGCGCTGAAGCCCTCTGTTCACCGTTATGCAACCTGTTCAGGCATTCACTGGAGTCACACCAATTCCCAGCGGAATGGAAACAAGCTACTCTCTCTCCAATCTTCAAAGGAAGAGATAGAAAGGACCCAGCCTGTTACAGACCAGTCGCACTACTACCTATATTACCAAAGGTTATGGAAGGACTAGTGGACGAACAAATGAGGGAGTACATGGATAAGAATAAAATACTACATGAAGCTTAACACGGGTTTCGAAAAGGCAGGTAGTGTGCATCTAATCTTCTCATCGCATGGGACAGTTGGACATCCTGCTTGGACCGTAAAATACCAGTGCACGTAGTATTTCTCGACTTCGCAAAAGCCTTTGACACAGTGCCCCACGCACGCCTAATCGAAAAGGTTGTGGAAATGGGCTTCACTGACCCACTCGTATCTTGGCTCAGAAACTACCTTGAGAATAGAATGTTTCGCACCACGGTAAACAGGGTGCACGCGAGTTGGGGAGTATCCACTTCAGGAGTTTCACAGGGGACCATCCTAGGCCCACTCCTCTTCCTGATATTCATTAACGACCTGCTAAGCTTAGTTAGCTCACCGGCACTGATCTACGCAGACGATGCGAAGATCTGGAGGTCCATTAGAAGCGAAGAGGATTCGACTGAGCTTCAAAAGGACCTTACATCCATTGAGAAATGGGCAGTGAAAAACGGTTTAAAACTCAACCAACCGAAGTGCCACGTCATGCATTTCCTGCCTCATATGACGCAAACCACCTACACTCTCAATGGAAGTCCGCTCCCTAATTTCTCCTCAGAGCGCGATCTTGGTTTAATAACCACAGAAAGCCTCCACACGAGTCCGAACTATGTAGGGGATGCAGCCAAGGCAAATGCGACTCTTCACTTTATGCGAAGACAGCTTGGTGCTATAACCCCGAAATTATTTTTAACCCTCTTTAAGACGTACGCGCGCCCACACTTGGAGGTTCACAACGTCATCGCACCCCCTCTGCTTAAAAGAGACATTAATCTCTTGGATCGAGTGCAGAAACGAGCGACGAAATGGGTGATAGGGTTGAAAAATAAACCGTACGACGATAGACTCCAGCTCTTGGGACTATTCCCACTGAGCTACAGGAGAATCAGAGGTGACCTGATTATGGCGTACACCATATTAAACACGCCCAACCATCCCAATGTGAGCATCTTACCGATGCATCACCACCACTCCCCTCGAGGCAATCCTCAAAAGATTGCACATCAAAGAGCAAACACTCAGGTTCGTGCACACTTTTTCTCATTGCGAGTCGTCGCAACTTGGAATGCTCTCCCAGCCGAGGTAATTACAGCCCCCTCAGTGGACTGCTTTAAGAAGAGACTTGATAATCACGTACTCACATGCGGACTATCATCTCCCTCTTGGACAAGCTGTGCCTGATGCACATCTTGAGACCTGCTAGTTGTTACCATTGCCATCTCCTCAGATCACTTAATTAATTTAACTCGCCTATTCCTCTCCCTTGCTTACACTTCGGTCCTCTCTCACAATCTTCACTACCAATTAATAAACTAAATTCATCTATATATTACGTAGTTCTGAAATTTTATTCATACTATCATTTTAATTTACCCTTATTACCCTTATTACTCTCCACATTGCAACTAACTGATCTCCGGTTTGGTAATGTGACGGCTGCTAGTATCCAGAAACCCTACTGCCCTGAAACATTCATTCAAATCCCGAGACATACAAACTCACAACCAACTGCCAACTGACTAGAATTAGACAGTCGAGTGGCTAGACCTCCATCCATTGGACATTACCGAACACCCGGAACCGTACCGAAAGAACAAGAATCGAGCGCGAAGAAATCAAATTGGTTTACACTAGCTCGTGAAAAAGATATTGGATATTAGTGGTGAGCATAGTCAATCTGGTATCTGACTCGCTCACTACAGTACAGTCATGTTTAACGAGGTCATAAACGAAATACTTATGCGGGAAGCGAACGAGCTCTTTCTTTACTACACTATGGAAAAAAACATGCACTTAAGAAGGTATTTTCTACACGCCGTATGGCCACGGGAATGTTGGTGTCTAAAAGTAGTTGATCACTGTCAAAATTACAGAACAGTGATTTCAGCAATGTGACTCGGGCACATTTTACTAAGAAATAGAAGTACTTTGGTTGAGCGAAGCACTTGGCATTTGCCATAGGCGTAATGGAGTGTTTGGCACAAAGGGAAGTTCTCTCCGAAGGATTCTGATCGTGCTCCTTACTTGGCATTGTGAGACCGAAGTTTCAATCTTGCCAAGCAACAGCAACAGACACAACCAAAACAACCAGCTCAGAGAACAAAACACCACCACAATATACAGATCACTTCTTACTCAGTAGTAATAAAACTAAAATTCTGGGCCCAGTGAGGTCGCTAGGATTCGACAATATTCACCCTATAGTCTTGAAACATTGTGAAGAAATCGTCAGCTCTCCAGCAAATTAACCTGTTCAGGCATTCACTGGAGTCACAACAACTTGCAGCTGAAAGGAAACAACCTACTCTCTTTATTTTTAAGACGAGGAAATAAGAAAGAATAAGTCTTTTACAGACCAGTCGCATTACTACTGATATTGTTGCAGTTTTTGGAAGTACTGGTAATTGGGTAAATGAGGGAGTGTATGGATAAGAAGAAAATCTTTACAGCTTAGACAGGTTCGAGAAAGCCTGATCATTTGTATCTCTCTTAGTTACAGGAGAATCAGAGGTGATCTGACAACACAACGCAACATACCAAGCACTACATTTCATTCCAATATTAGCATCTTGCCGAATCGTTACCAACACGTCCCTTCAGGTAATTCTCTGAAACTGACACATCGAAAAGCGAACGCCCAGCAAAGAACGTACCTTTTTTCATTACGAGTTGTTGTAACTCGGAATACTCTTCCAGCCGATATGAGCGTATTTCCCCCCGTGAATAGCTTCAATGAGTGACATGATAAATACGTACTCACATACGGATTATCATCTCCCTCGTGGACAAGCTGTGCCTGATACATGTATTAGGACTTGCTGGTTGTCATTACCATTTCCTAAGAGCACCGACTTAATCTATGGTTCCTTTTTCTCGCTCATACTACTGCTGTCTCACGCAACCGTTTCTACCAATGAGTGAACTAAATTTCTATTTGATTATTAGTTCTGAAATCTTTTCATTTCAATCAAAATTTTATCCGTATTGCACTTCACATTGCAACTAACTGATCCTCACTCAGGTAAAGTGCTAGCGGCTGGTATCCAGCAACCCTACTACTTTGAAAAGACGTACTTACGCAAATCAAGAGACTTACGAACTGACAAAGAACTAACAACTGAATGGAATTTGTTAAGTCGAGTGGCTACATCACCATCCATTGAACACAACCAAACGCCCGGAGTTGTACTGAAGGAACAATAATTGAGCTCAAAGTAATCAATCGGTTTACACTAGCGTGAGAAAAAGATATTGGATATTGGACGTTTTAGGGGACGGAGGAGCATTTGTTCTGTGCGTTACCAATTATGAGTGAGAATAAGTCAGGTGATGTTTTGCAACACTTCATCAAACACACGGAGAGATCAAATGCCCGAAGGTCGATCATTGCTCGAGCAGCAAAGAAAAAAGCGTCTAAAATTGCATTAGTTTCCTTTGGATTTGCTATTGCCAGTTGTATCCTTTAAATGTAACAATCATTAGTAGTTATTTCCTTGTATATAATGAAATGTGTGACTGTTTTGTGCTAATGATTTAGTGGTATTGTTGATCATGAGGTGAACGTCTTATATAGTATCGATTTGAATGTTATAACGTTCCAGTCGATGTTTGCACAAGGTCCACTATACCGAAAAGCTTGCACCTGGTGATAGAATTCCTGTTATTTGGTGCCTTACTATTCCAGACGCGGTTAAAGTTTCTACGTTTCCTACATTTGCTATGACGAAACACTGACTGGAATACACTTCATTTTTTGCATGTTTTATCATGTCAAGACACGTTTGCTCTCAAAACTGATTCTCAAACTTATTGTTCAATTGTATTTTAAGTTACACAGACATGCAATCACGGAAAGTGACTTTTCTCATCTATATATTGCTGTCAGCTAATTATGTGGCCGATACATTTCCGTTCATGCTTTCAGCTCCGTTTCGAGACCAAGAACTTTTGTGAGCCTTGAACATCGGTTGTTCTTGAGACTTGTTACATTCACATAACTACTCAAGTGTCCGTGAACTACTGCAAAAATGGAAAGAATAACAGATTGTCAAGCAGGTTGTTTTTGAACAATATTTGGTGCCTTTCAATCGAGTTTCAAAAGCTCGTTCATTAGCTCTAATGAGTAATATGCATCGGGCTTCCAGGTTGCTGTTTGGCCAAAACAAATGATTGGTAAAACTATCTCAGGCAACAGAGTTTTCTCAATCGGCCTAACCTCTTAAAAAATCGATGACCATTTGTTGATGGTTCTATAGAAATATCTGTAGTCATCTGATACACGCTTAAATCCAGGCTTATTAGTTTTTTTTAAGTGTCATAAATTCTATGTACTAAAAAGAATAAAATCGAGACCATTTCAAAGACAAATTAACTACTAAATAGTCCATAGACTGATTAATTCACCTAATTGCTTTACGGTAAGCCAGACAATTACTATAGCTGGTCCCTTGCTCCATATTCCAGCAATTATCTTATTTACGGTTTCTTAACTCTATCCGATAACTGATACCTCTTTAGAGAGAAACCGGCTATTTGTATGGAATACTCGCTTTCTGAGTGAACATATTATGTACAGTGTCTTAGGTCTTGATGTAAACTACTACGTATTATGAAACTCAGTCGTTTCAATATTTCTCTAGGTACCATTTAAGTTTACCACTCATGTCGTGCTCATTGGTATGTCTAACGTACAGGTTTTTAAATACAGATGTAATTATAGGTATTTATCTCATCAGTATTTCTCTAAACTCCTTAAAAAAAATTTAGATCTATATTCATTATACGCTATACGACGAAATCGGGAGCTTGGTGCTTCATTTGATCAACTGCCATCATATGCCTCTTCAGATCAGTGAACTGAGTTTTGGTATCAGTTAGTGCTAATGTGTACTCCGAAAGTCATCGATACTTGTACTTAATTTCGGGGTTCATTTAAATACATTTACACACAAATATCCCATTATTATTTTCTGTGTGTTCATACCAAACACTTCAGGGTCATACCAAAATAGGCTTAAAATAATTTTATCAAAGAAGGAACGTAATTTTCTCCTAGTTGTAGTAGCAATATGAGCGCTTCATCGCTGAATGTAAAAGAATCTTTGGACTGGGGGTTTCAGTCAGTCAGTCAGTTGCAACGTAGAACTTCTTACGTAAGTACATCAGTTCATGTCGCCATACCACATCAGCACAGAGAAGTAATCGTCAATTCAAATCCAATAGTGGAAGAGTTAGTAAGGGTATTAGAAGTAATCGGAGAGGTTAGGATGAGAAGATATTATTCAAGAAGTATGATTAAATGAGAAAAGTTAAGAAAGTCAAAACTAGAGGGGTTGAAAAACCTAGAAGATTAGGATCTGGGAGAACACAAAGAATAAATGCACCGGCACCATTGCGAACGATTTTGAGCCATGTCATTCAAGGTCTCTAACCATCGATTATTATCATCTCGCGGACCCCAACCAGGTAGTCGACAATTACCGACATGGCTAAGTCCACTCGTCAATGACTTCATGGATTTGTGCCATGTTTTGGTTTGGCCGCCCCTAACTTTCTTCCAACCTATTCCTACACTACAAAACAAAGCTCGACGAGGCAGTCGGTGGTTAGCCATACGTAACACATGTCCCAACCACCTCAACGGATGAGGTTTCAATACTTCATCAATCGATCTGCGATCCTTACCTTGTACTCGCTTCCTAACGACAGCATTGCTTATACAGTTGTACCACGATACACGAGCAATGCTTCGGAGACAACGATGATCGAAGACTAGTATCCTACGAAAGTCCTCTACTCTTAACGGCCATATTTCGCAACCATATAGTAGAACGGAGCGCACTGCTGCGTAGTACACTCGACCTTTGGTTAACAGATGGATATCTCACCTAAGCCATAAATGACGCAATTTGGCAAAAGCAAATCGAAGACAACTATGACCGAAAACCAGTAACCTACGAATATCTTCTACTCTCACTGGCCATGTTTCACAACCATAAAGTAAGACGGAGCGAACTATATCTCAGGGGTCAGTCTATCAGGACCTGCAGCTCGTCCTCGTTTCAGATTTCCTAACGCTTTCTCAACGTCATTAAGACTAGGGGGACTTAGGTCGATTTGCCATTCAGGATGACTGGAGATCGTGGGTAACCGAAGAGTGGCCAGTTGAACTGATCCCTAAAGAGTTCTGCCCATCGATCCAGTCTCCTGGATTGAGAATAAATAATAGTCCCGTCATTTTCTGAGATAGTCTCACTAATACTAGGATTCCTAATACCAGTTTCCTTGATAAGTCGGAAAAGTTGTCTACTGTTGACTATCGCCGCCGCCTTTTCCATCGCTTTTGCTTTCGCCACCCACCACTGTTCGCGATCGTTACGTAGGCTTTTTATATGTCTGCGCTTGAGTTGACTTCGTTCTTCATCAAGTTCAGAGCCAGGTGGGATGAGTTTTCGGGCATCCATCAGATCGGTGGATGCTACTGAGATCCACGGTTTCATTCTAGCCTTATGGTCAACCTTACTAGCAGATATCACTGCTGTTTCCACAGCCTTTTTGATATCATTCCAACCTGCCTCCGGATGGGAATCGCCTAACTGTCTTTCTAGTTGTTCCTAAAATATTATCATTAAGTAAAACCCTAAGAGGCTTTCTTACGGTGTCTTTCCTACTCCTAGTAAGCTTCAAACAAATACGCGCTCACATTAGAGCATGATCTGAACCTAGACATGTGCCCCAGAACGAGCGGCTGTCTTCTATCGAACCCATCCATCGGTGGCTAATGGCGATGTGATCTAGTTGAGTCCAACGTTGAGACGACTTTGGAGGTCGCCAGGTCAAAACATGCTTTTCGTTATGCCTAAAGTTAGTGTTTGCTAAGAATAGGCGGTTGTCTGAGCATACTCTCAACCGACGGTCACCATTGTCTGTTCTCTGAGCCGAGACACCACAACATCCACCTAGGTGTCTTTCATTTTCACTTAGTCTACCTACTTCAGCATCAAAGTCACCAGCCATTAATACTATATCAGAGCGCCTAGCTTTTTGGACGAGGTCCGAATGCTTTCTGTAAAACTCATCTTTAACCTCGTCTGAAATGCAGACAGTGGGGGCATAGGCAGATACGATGAAGAGGCAACGGCGAGCGTCCCTATCTTTCCGAGACCGTACTGTCCCATTTAGTCGGACAGCGCACAAGCGACTATCTACTGGGATCCAGTCAAGGAGAGATTGTTCCGCTCTACCACTAAATGCTATGCCTACGCCAGCAAGACCCCTGGAAGCAGCATCAGGGCTACCGGATACACGAAGAGTAAATCGAGTTGCTTTTTATTTTGACATGGTGAGGTCAAGCGAATGATGCTACTCGGATCCTGTATGCGCATTTCCGAGACGCAGCATACATCGATGGCACGAGATTCTAAAGTCCTAGCTAAGGAAGCCTGTTGCCCTATTTGACACAATGTCCGTACATTAAATGCTCCAACATGTAGTCTAGAGCGGCGTTTAAGGAGACCAGGAACGACGTTTCGCAAACTCGCATCTTTTGCATTAGCTGTGCACTTGTAATAAATGAATGTGAGAAGAGTTAGTCGTGGAGATCAGAGAGGTATTAGGGAATGTAGGAAGGATTTGATTTTGAACAATTTTGTCTCGTGTGTTGTTGCGGGTATGAGGGCGGTTGTCACTTCCCGGCTGCCCACACCGTGGAAGGTTGTTTCTTGAGGAACCTGAAAAGGAAAATACATTAGTGCTGTTCTTAGAGATCTGGGTGCGTGACCGCAGAGCCCAAGGGACAACTGTTTGAGGTCGGTCACGCACAACCTTTTTATGAAAGGTTTTTTGAGGATTAGCTTCGTTCTTAAAGACCCTTAGTGGGCACCCTTACCCAAGGAGACGGAAATCCGTTAGGTGTGACATTTTTAGGGTCGACCTTTTCTAACCCTTCCTTCCTTGTGAGAAGGCAGCATCGCTGCAGATGCTGGTTTTCCGAGGGAAACACCTTACTGCTGTCACACCCCTCTGCAGTCAGCAGTACGACTTCGCCCACAGACCTCGAGCAGCTGACTTCAGTCTCATCGTTCTCCAATCGACCAGCCTGGCATGGTAGGACCTTCAGGAACATATGTTCCAGCCAATATAGCTCGGTTGGGTGATCACGATAGGCAAGCCCGACCACCACGTCAAGGTAGCAGCTACGGTCTGGGGACTAAGGGGTTTATTCAGTTTAGATGTAAATGAGCCGTTCTAACACACTTAGTTTCGCCTAAAACGTACGTATTATTCATAAAATTAACCATATATTTTATCCACTAAGATGATTTGGGAATTGTTAATTAAGACAGATAGATACAATGCAGGACTTCGTACGTAAGTACATCAGTTCAAGTTCTTCCAACCTGCTCCTACACCACAAAACATAGCTAGTCGAGGCAGTTGGTGGTTGGGCATTCGTAACACATGTCCCAACCACCTCAACGGATGAGGTTTCAATACTTCATCAATCGATCTGCGATCCTTACCTTGTACTCGCTTCCTAACGACAGCATTGCTTATACAGTTGTACCACGATACACGAGCAATGCTTCGGAGACAACGATGATCGAAGACTAGTATCCTACGAAAGTCCTCTACTCTTAACGGCCATATTTCGCAACCATATAGTAGAACGCAGCGGACTGCTGCGTAGTACACTCGACCTTTGGTTAACAGATGGATATCTCACTTCACTTATCCGGGGAGTCTCATCAGTGCTGACGGTCTGGTGACTGACGAAATCTCAGCTCGGATACAGAAAGCTCGATTGGCTTTTGCCAACCTGCGTCACTTATGGCGTAGGCGTGATATCCGTTCGCTAACCAAAGGGCGGGTGTACTGCGCAGCAGTTCGTTCCGTTCTCTTATATGGCTGTGAAACATGGCCGTTAAGAGTAGATGTTCGTAGGTTACTAGTATTCGATCATAGATGTTTAAGAAGCATTGCTCGTATATCGTGGGACAGCCGAGTAAGCAATGCTGTCGTTAGGAAACAAGTACAAGGTAAGGATGGCAGATCAATAGATGAAGTGGTGAAACTTCATCAGTTGAGGTGGTTGGGATATGTGTTACGTATGCCCAACCACCGACTGCCTCGACGAGCTATGTTTTGTGGTGTAGGAGTAGGTTGGAAGAAAGTTAGGGGCGGCCAGACCAAAACATGGCAGAAATCCATGAAGTCACTGACAAGTGGACTGAGTCATGTTGGTAGATGTAGACTACCTGGTTGGGGTCCGCGAGACGAAAGTCATCAATGGTTAGAGACCTTGAACGACATGGCTCAAAATCGTTTGCGATGGCGCAGGTGCATCCACTCTTTGAGCTCTCTCAAATCCTAATCTTCTGGATTAGCCAGCACCTCTACCTTTGTCTTTCTAACCTTATCTCACTGAATTATATTTTTTGAATAATATCTTAAACCCTAGTCTTCTTTATTAACAGTAATACCTCTACTATCTTTATCACTATGGGATTTGATTTGACATTTGCGTCTCTGTGCTAATAATGTGGTATGGCAACATGAACTTATGTACATACGTACGAAGTTCTACGTTGCATCTGACTGACTTGATGTGTTTGAACACAAATACCATCAAATGTAAGTAGTTTCGTGATGCAAGTGTTATCTAAATACTTAATACAAATATTACAGTAATGGTGACTTTTTCAGGACATTTTTTCGATAGATAAAGACGCATTACTTTTAGAATTAAGTTTAGATGATATCACTGGTGAAAGAATATTTTCGAAGTTGTTGGAACATCTGTTAGCTAAGTTCAATTTGGCTTACTTAACTGTCCAATTGATGTGAATACTAGTTAGAAAAATCAATGGCGACATGGCTGAAAATGATTTACGACTGGGCAGATGCATTCGATTTATCTTCGACCTTAAATTCCAGTATTCCCTTACAAAAAAACTTTCCACTTGGTCTTCCACACCGTCATTGCCACTACCTGATCTCGGTCTTTTCACCATTAATGTTGTAACGAAGTAAATATTGAAGGCTAACAACTCACTTGAAATGTCAGCTACGCTTTTAAGAGTACGGAAAAGGAGTTCCATCTCCTAAATCAGTGGCTAGAATTAAAGTTATTGACTGCCTAATGAACCAGTAAAACAGCACATTTTGATTAACCGAACTATGTGAATCGTCCTAAAAATAGGTCGATCTTTCAAAATAAGCATAGTTTAAAAAGGATAGTGAGCACAGGAAAACTAAATATGAAGGAAAAGAATGAATTAGAACATAGGAATAAAATGATTCGATGATGGAATGAGGTGTTGCTTATAAGAAATGGAGTTCATTGGTTACCCACCGAGACTAAGCAGTGTGATGTAGCATGAACAAAAATAAAGTCTAGGAATCAACAAACTTATTAGAGAAATTCAATGAAGTGGACTTAGCAAATCAAAGATCCATTTTAAACGTCTTATTCTACCATTTAGACAAATCATAATTTGAAATTTTTTTCGTGCAGTTTAAATCAATGACATGCCAGTGGATTTGTCTAGTACATTATTGTTTTCTATAATTTATGGTAGTTATTTAAGTAGCAAGAAATATCATGGACGCAAAATTCTTTTAAATCTCTATCCATGAAGGCAGGAACGTTTGGATTGTAGGTATCTAATGTTTATTCCGCGTCATAAATTACAAGGATATTTAGTTCATACAAATTACTGCCACTTCGGAAACTAATTTGTTTCCTACGCCTACAACGTAAAAGTGATTAGTTAGATTGTTTCATATACTTAAACATTTGAGATGGTGTTTTACTTAGTGTTTAATAAGCACATGCTAAATCTATATGTTTGTATGCTCATTTCGGAATACGATATGACTGAGCATGTAACTTACAAATGAATTAATCAGATTCAGTTATCTGATAAATTCAAGTGCCTTGTATGCGAATCCTTTTTTGTTTGCCGCTCTATCTATTTAGTAATCATACTCCGTCAATGTATCGATGTATAAATACTTGATGTACTCTGATTAACTGACAATGAGCTGTTTAGATTCATTTCAATGCAATATAATCCTGGATTTATTTCACGAAAACGCAGTTGCTGAGTATTCTATTCTCAGTGCTGATTTCAGTCTAATCCAATAGATGATTATCAGTGCCATCAGTCAGTCAGTTACATCGTAGAACATCGTACATAAGTACATCAGTTCAAGTCGCCATACCACATCAGCACAGAGACGCGATTGTCAATTCAAATTCCATAGTCGTAGAGATAGTAGAAGTATTACTGGTAATGGAGAAGATTAGGATTTGAAGATATTATTCAAGAAGTATAATTCAGTGAGATAAGTTTAGAAAGACAAAGGTAGAGGTGTTGACGAATCAGGAAAATTAGGATTTGAGAGAACACAAAGAGTGGATGCAACTGCACTATTACAAACGGTTGAGCCATGTCGTTCAAGGTCTCTAACCATCGGTTACTATCGTCTCGCGGACGCCAACAACGTAGCCTACATCTACCAACATGACTCAGTCCACTTGTCAGTGACTTCATGGATTTCTGCCATGTTTTGGTCTGGCCGCCCCTAGATTTCTTCCAACCTGCTCCTACACCACAAAACATAGCTAGTCGAGGCAGTTGGTGGTTGGGCATTCGTAACACATGTCCCAACCACCTCAACGGATGAGGTTTCAATACTTCATCAATCGATCTGCGATCCTTACCTTGTACTCGCTTCCTAACGACAGCATTGCTTATACAGTTGTACCACGATACACGAGCAATGCTTCGGAGACAACGATGATCGAAGACTAGTATCCTACGAAAGTCCTCTACTCTTAACGGCCATATTTCGCAATTTTAGTCATTTTTAAGTGCATGGCATTAAACGACATATATTGTAATGTCCTCTTTGTTTTGAAGGATGCTTTGATTTATCCTGGATCCATGAGAGTGCCGTCATATTAGTGCCTCTCGTGCTTGTTTGGATAGCATCAGTGCAAATCCTTGTGTGTGAGGCATTTTTTTGTTCATGACAGGAGTATAACAGCTGCCCTACTGAAGTTGCTGTTGTCCAACTTGCATCCAATGCGTTTGACTGATTCCAAGCTCCTCCATGTAGTATCTTTTCATATTCGCAGTGATTCGGAGCAGTCTTTCAGTGACCACATGTTCTGAACATTCCATGCATTTACAAGAATGGTTGCTCTGATTGTGAGAATGGTCATCGGCATCGTGACTTTCGAAGTGACTCGGTTTAATCATGATATTTCATGATTCTTCTGAAAGAAGACCTCCTAACTCCCATGGGCAGAGTTAAAATGGCTTGAACTGATTTTTCTGGTTAGAGTTTTTAGTGAGTAAGTTTTCCACGGGATGTTTTTGGGCCATTAAGGGAAGATATTCGTAGGTTACTAGAATTCGACGACAAGTGCTTTGAAAGCATCACTCGTGTATTGTTGATCAATCGAGTAAGAAATGTTGTTGTCAGGAATTGGGTACTTGGGAAGGATGGCAAATCAACTGATGAAGAAGTGAAACTCTATCCCTGCTGCAAACCTTCAATAAAAATCTCACAAGCCGATGAAACTTCGAAATCGAAGACTGCCAGAATACCGATTTACGCCGTAAAGCATGCATGCAATCCAAAAACAAAATCTACGAACGAAACATCAGTGAGATCATCAATATCAGTACATGCTGCATAAGCAGTGGTGAAGAGACTGCATACATCGATTCTACCAGTGATGAAGCTTTAAATTTGGGTTCCTTAAGTGCGCGACATATTCATCATCATCAAAAAAATGAGCTTCAGAACACCTACAGTCTTATCATCAACTGACGGTGGACATCCAATATCTTCCTCAATTCTATATATCGCTTTCCTGACGACTTTTTCTATGGAATGTGAGTTTTTGCCATACTTTCTTCATTATTCTTAATATGTAATGATTAATGCAATAGTCGGATTTATTACAAATACATATAGCCGATATTGCTACCGAATTATTTAAACAGTTAATCGATAAAGCTAGTCGAACGGCTTCGTGCATCGGCTTTTAACCCTGCATGCAAGCTCAGCAATAACAAAAGTACAGAATAAATGTGAAGCGCTACACATCCTTCAAAGTAATGTTCGCCCATATAACCTTATCGAAAACACCAATCTAAATCACCAGTAGAAGCGATATGAAACTCATGTACGAACGAACAAATCATCCTATAATAACAAGATCCTATAATAACAAGATTACTCAATCCCTGTAGAATGGGTGTGGCACATAAGTCAGCAAAAACAATTCGGTAAATCCTATGTGAATCAAAAGGCAAGATAGTAAAAGAAGAAAAACCAAACATCATTTACAAAATAGACTGGCCAAACTGTGAAAAAGACAGCGTCAGGCAAGGTGGGGGTCCCCGTTAACTTCGTCAAAAAAACATTATTTAGCAGTAAATAACCATGGAATGTCCTGCTTTGTATCAGTATATGTGGACAACTGTACCAGATAAAAGGAATTTGAAGAATAATAACGAATTTTTCGAAGCTTGGCCCTAAGACCGACTGGTAATCACCAAAAACACAGACATTGATCCAGTTGATCTACCAATCAGAAAAATCACAGAACCATGAAACTGCTGTGCATTCTTGTCTATTACACAGGGTACCTGCTGACTAGACGTGAACCGCCATAGTTGTTTTACATACTCCACACTACAAACACAGCTTAGACATAAGCTGAATGTAAGAATGAAGAAGATAAAAGTGCCTAACCTTCAAATAATGTTTAATTTTATGTACACGGAGACGAAAGTTTTGCCAAAAAAATCCTCCGACATTTAATTTGAGAAGTCGTTTTTCCCAGAATGACAGCAGAACTTTCCAAGTCATTTGTGACAGTTCTATTAAGCCCTAATCAGAGTATGATGAAATAGATAATCCCTCCATTTCAGTAGGATAAGTAATCACAAAGTATGTCGAAAAAATGCTTTAAAATTAATTTACTGACTCAGAATCAAGTGAAGCATGGAATGCGCTAGATTGCCGGGTTTGCAATTTTCAAGCACCGACGACTGATATGTAATATTTTTGACCTACATATTCCAAAACTTCCCTGAGTAACTTACAGTATATCCAGCTAGGTTCAAATGAGTCACAAAAACTAGCATAAAGTGTCCAGAGATTTGTGGAACAACAAAGTAGAATGGACTTTTTACTCATTTTTACGCTTTACCCCTGATCACCTTTTCCATATTCTCTATCTACTCTTGGGATTCAAATGACTGCCCATTATTCATTCGGCAGGACATTTAATAAGTTCTCAAATACTCAGAACAGTATTCCAATGTAATTCAATAATAAATTTCTAAAGCTTGATTCATATATTTCATAAGGTATTGCAAATTCAATGCTATAAGTAATAATAACTCTTGAAGTAAAAAGTTTTCTGTTCAGTTTATACACATATTTGTCCTCTGAACACTATTAGCCTTATCATACTGTAACCAGATAGTAATAAATATTTTGTTTTATTATATCATCTTGCATTGTAGAAGTAAATGTTTGAAATGGAAATTGACATTCTTCTGGTCTCATCTTGCCTTCAGGTGACCTTCAAAACGCCGCGTAGTTCACTTTTGTCATGTCAAGGTCAAACGGCCTCGAGGTCCCTGAAATACCCGAAGTAAAATATGAATGTAATTATTCATATTTTTTAAAATTGATTCCTTTTTTTTAGATTTAGATCACACTGCTGATGTACAGTGAGTTTCCTGTGCTTTACAAAACTAATGTTAGGTTATTGATAACAGTGAAAAAACAACACGTCTTTATACATTTATGGAGTAGTATTTCGATAATTTGTTTACGAATTTGTGACTATATGATAAGTTCTTATTGCTTATCACTTATTTACATTTTGACTGGAACCGTAACGAAACAAGTTTCGAGCTCAAAGAGATCAACTGGTTTATACTACCTCGAGGAAAATATTTTGCATATTGGACTGCTATTATACCTACGTCTTTTAAAATGCCTAACATATACTCGTTGTCATTGACTTAAATTCTAAATCGATAGCATTTTTGCCAGATCTAGCTTTACAACTAGCTAACATCATTAATTTAGTAAATGAACACCTCAGATCGACTTGATAATATGAACAGATACGAATAATTTAGCAGAAATGTGTTACGATCCTAATAACTCCGGAGTGATGCCATGTGCTAATAGTATTATCACGCAATTAAAGGGATTGTGGGACTTGAGAATTGTACACTAATTGTTGTTGTTCTTTAATATGATACTGAGATTTATAAAACAAGTAAACCCGACTTATGATATTGAGACAGTTATATATTTGATGAGTAGTTTTTGCATGTGTCTTCATTATGTTAAATTCTCTCCCTGCTATTATTAATCATAAATTAGAGTATAGTCTTCAAATATTTCTGTGTCTACGCGCACTAGTTCTCAATTTAAAATGATTTGAGCGATCTCCTGGTGAAGTTATCTCATCCATGCTCTCTCCGTTTAAAGGTGCTTCTTTAAACCAGATTTACAGCATCATATGTCGGACCATCCTTAATAATCTCAAGTTGACAGCTTTTCACATTGGTTCGAGTGTGTAGGATGGATTTGATTGTGACCGATTTGATCTCGTGTGCTGTTACAGGTATGAGGGCGTTTGTCACTTCCCGGCTGCCACACCGTGGAAGGTTGTTTCGTAAAAGTTCTGCAAAGGAGGATAGATTAGTCTTGCTCTCAGAGACCTGGGAGCGTGACCGCAGAGCCCAAGGGACAACTGCTTGAGGCCGGTCACGCACGGCCTTTTTATGAGAAGTCTTTAATGTGTTAGCTTCGCTCTCAAAAGCCCTTATTGGGCAGCGCTTACCACCGGAGACGGAAATCCGTGAGGTAGGGTGAGGTGTGACATTTTTAGGGTCGACCTTTTCTAACCCTTCCTTTCTTGTGAGAAGGCAGCGTCGCTGCAGATGCTGGTTTTCCGAGGCAAACACCTTACTGCTGTCACACCCTTCTACAGTCAACAGTACGACTTTGCCCTCAGACTTTGCAATGGCGCAGGTGCATCCACTATTTGTGTTCTCTGAACTTTTAAATTCTTCATCATCTCTTTCTTTCTCTTCTTAAAGTTATCTCACTGAACTTAACTTCTTAAATAATATTCTCGGCCCCTAATCTTCTCCATAACGGCCAATTCTTCTACTATCCCCATCACTATGGGATTTAAACTGACAGTTGCGTCTCTATGCTAATGCGGTATGGCAACCTAAACTGATGTACGCACGTACGAAGTTCTACGTTGTAACTGAGTGACTGACTTTCATATTGGTTTAGTCTTAAAGATCCCCAGTCATCAAAGAGTTACTCGCTAACATTCATTTACATTTTTAACGCCACGTCACAAATGACATGGACACGCCAAATAATATGATTTAAAAATATTAAAATCAAAAATCCTGTTCGTTCTATATGATAGCACTTCCTGTGCAGAAATAGAAGAATTTGACTTATATCAGCCTTATCACTTGGACATTCGTCCAACAAATGAGCAAGTATCTTTTCTATTTGTCTATTACCAATTTTCATCAAATAAAAATATGTTAGGCTTTTATGAATACTTAAATATTGTAGTCTTCCTTCGGGTAATTATGGACCTGGGACAATTTTCTGGGAAAGTATAACACTGGCAATTTATTTCAAATGTTGAGACAGTAAATAAATTCTATCTGTTACATCTTGTCATCAGATCATCTAAATAATGTCTCAAGATCCTTTAGACAGGAAATATGTGTTTAAACTCAGTTCAGTTTATGGTAATTAACTAAAATAATCGTCTCATAATTACTGAGTCAATCAACATTATTAAACATACATCACAGTACATTCATATTTTTACCGAAAACTATCTTTAATTTGAATTTTTATGGATTCTTAATTCTTGCTCGACATGGTACTTGTTTTACCTATCAGGTTGCATTCGTGGGGTAATAACCAAACAGAAGCATTTGAACAAGTTAGTTCCACTTATCAGTTAATATAATTTGGCTGTAAATAGATTGCTATGGCAATGTTCAACTATATGACAACAAACTACGACTCAGTGGATATGTCAGAAAAATTTGAAATTGAAGCTAATGGTCAGTTTTACCATCCATTCCTTCTATTACAATTTTATAATATTACAGTTTCAGGATGACGTGCATACTATTATTTATCGCATATGACATGTTAGTTGTGGTAGGTAGCTGAAACTTAGGTTTACAACTTTTCACTGGTTTACTTGGAGCTCTTTGAATTAAACATTGTGAGTTCCATTAGGAATTATCTCTGTCAATTGATGGGTATCGGTTACTAATTATCTGCTTGTTGAATAGTGTAAAAAAGTTCATGTTTTGTTTTCGTGAATAATTCATGAAGTATTATTGAGAAAAGTGAGACCTCGATTAATTTCAACCAGTCTGTTTAGCATGATAAAGCACTTTGGCTTGAATTCTCACTAACTCACTAAGAATTTAAAGCTTCATTACTACTTCAGGGAAGCAGCGATAGTGAAAAACAAGGCGGTAGAGAAAATTCCTGGACATTAAACAAACCAAATTATTCTTTATTGACTAACGAATATTTTTTCTCTGCAAATTACATTGAGTTTGAAAAATAATCAACTTTCATGTCCCTTAGTGGTAAAGATAATCAACTTTCAGTTACCAAGCCCCCAAGTTCGTACACCGCGTCACCTACTTCGGTTTAAGCAGTTGTGTAGTATGACTAACCCCCACATCCAAAACGTTGCTCATACACAAGTAACTAGCAAGTTCTTCCGTTAAAAGTTTATAAAAATAGACATCTTATGTATGCCATATAAAAACAAGCTTATATAACTAATCAGTGAATCTATAACAGTTGAAGATTTTCAAATTGCTGTAGATTACCTAACCTTTCACGTCTGTATGTATGGCTTGTATGATTTTTCGCCTAATATTTCTGTGCTTTTGCAAACTGTAACAACCTGAATGGACACACGTTACAGTTCATTTCTCCATGGATGTTTCTTCAGACACCGTAATACTCTATTATTCACCGGATATCGTTAATTGTCCCCTTTTTTCTTACTTCTCCACTTCAGTCATCACGTTTTTCTCGATTCCCATCCATACATCATTGCAATGCGCTATAATAGATAACTTTATAACATCCTGTATCGTCTCACTTTCTTCGAAGTAATTATTTATATTCAGTGATCTGAACTGACTTTCGTCAACTTGCCTCACTTATGGCAGCAGTTCGCTCCGTCCTACTTTACGGGTGCGAAACTTGACCATTAAGAATAGAGGATATTCGTAAGTTATTAGTATTCGACTATAAGCGCTTTTAAAGCATCGCTCGTGTATTCAGGGACAATCGAGTAACAAATTTTGTTAGGAAATGGATACTAGGAGAGAATGGCAGATTAGTAGATGTTTTGAAACTTCATCAGTTGAGGTGGTTGGGACATATGTTAGGTATGCCTGACCACCGACTCCCTCGTCAAGCTATGTTTTGTGGTGTAGTAAGGAAGCCAGAGGCGGCCAAACGAAAACATGGCACAAATCCATGAAATCACTGACAACTAGATTGAGACATGTTGGTAGATGTAGACTACCTGGTGGGGCCCGCGAGATGATAGTAATCGATAGAGACCTTGAATGACATGGCTCAAAACCGTTTGCAACAGCGCGGACCCACCCATTCTATATGTTCTCTCAAATCCTAATCCTATGGATTCTTTATCACCTTTCTCTTTCTGAGTTTATTTCACTAGATTATACCTCTTGAATAACATCTTCGAACCGTATTATTTCCTGTTACTACCAATACTTTTACTACCTCTACCAGTATGGGATTTAAATTGACAATTGCATGTCTGCTAATGTGGTATGGCAGCTTGAATTGATGTGCGTACATACGAAGTTGTACGTTGTAACTAACTGACTGACTGATTGAATCGTGTCCAACGTTCTCGGGCAATCATAAAAGTATTTTCGACTTTGAGGAATTTGTTGGAGTGGGCTTCGTGGACTCACCTACTTTCCCTGTTCAACCCAACTGTCTAAATTGTTCTCATGCTTAAAATATATTTGTCAATATAAATTTTTCAGGTCATGATATGATGTCACTACTTTTTCATTTTCTGGATGAATGGTTGTTCGCGTTTTCAGCTGATCCATTTTTCATCCCACGGGTAAATATTCCATGGCTAATAAAGAAATCTTGCGTATTTTTGCATATTCATTGATAAGAAGTCAGTTTCTTTTACGTAGTCAAGTGATTTCGGATGACAGTTGACGACTTATGTGTCTGTGTTCACAATACCACATGTTTCACATTGATCATAACTTAACAGTCAACGATTAATAATGCGACATTTTGTTATTTGATATTAATATTGTTTAAACGTCCCTCAATTTATGCTTAATCAAGCTCATTGTCGCAAGTTTCAGTGTATTTAAATTGCTCCCGATACTAAAATAATTATTTACTGAGGTCTGAACTATTTCTAATTAGGAAGAAAAAGCAGTATCATAACTACTCACGTTTTCTATTAATAATTGCTGTTAGATTCACATTTTTAATCTAAGTAAAAGAAAAAGATACGTTTTCACTACTCCCATTCATTATACAAAATAAGGCCCCAGATGTAAGTAAAGCTGTATGATTTGTATTTTCGGCTTTACTTTCATTTGATACCTTATTTGCTATAATAAAATTGAGGTATTTAAAGATGTTGGTAGCGATACTACCTAGTCACCTACGCCTAAATAAATAGAGCCGAGTTAGAACTAGCACCTCAAGTCCCACCTCTGTTAGCTAACCTTTCAAAAATCCTCATACGACCATAGCCTTCTAACTAAAAATCTTGACTGCCCATGTTGAACAACAAACCCTATAAAATCGCTTCCGATTTGATTTGTTCGTCTACAGTATGTTTATGTAAGCCTTCTACCAATAAAGTCCTTTAGTAGATTTCCCATTTTAAAAGCATCTGTCATCCTCCTTTTGTAACCAGTATTATTATGTAATCGTTAGATATTCACAAACCACTCGTAAAGTCAGCTCCATTATGGCATGGCCAACCATCTGTAATTTCAAGTGTCTGTCTCTCACTTGTAGTTTAATGGTACCTGTTATGAGAATCACTTTCTGGTTATGATCCAAATCATTTTCTTTAAGTGAAACTTCCATTTAGTCTAACACGTTACAAGCTGTATTTTAATTTGTTGGTTTATACCATATTTGTTTTTCTTATTAGGTTGTTAAAATAACAGAATTCGATAAGGAAAAATTTCACATTAAATCAGTTGGGTAGGTTCTGCACTCTTTTAGAAGAAAACTATCATAATGTTGATTTTTTATAGTTGGGGTGAATCTTTTGACATTTCAAAACATCCTCAGGTCAGTTATACTCTTCTTTTTGTCTTCAATGTTAAAATAATTTGTATGGTGTTTGATTTTCTAGATTAGCAACTGCAAATTCATTAATCTAATCTGCAGAATTGATTTTAACAAAGTTTAGAAACCTGTACTTAGTGTAGACGTATTACATTATTCATATTACTGCCACTATTATTATTATTATTATCGTTACTGCAAAGCATGATATTGGTTTAAGTTTAATTTTACAAATTATATTTCATCGGAGATCACATTGCCTTCATTTCAAATAATCGTAATTTGTATTTTAAATTTTCTTTACAAAATTCTAGGGTACTGAAGTGAAAGCTATCACCTATTCAAATATGCAAATTCATGAAAATGAACATATGCACGAGTTGTTTGTAATTATTGATATTTAATAATTATATATATATATATATATATATATATATTGATTTACAACTAAACATTTTCCTTCTGTCTTCTCATTTATAATAAACAATTTGAAAGATATCGTTTTTTATCGCGAAGTAAATATGATAAATAGTTGTGGACCGTCTGTATTGTATGTATCATACGTCGAACACAATCCGCGAACCATGATGTTCCAAGAGTATCTTCTAATTTCAGACTAGGTTTAAAAAATATTTTAATGATTATTAAAGAATATATAACGTTCAATCTTATAATCAGATGACATGCAAACAATATGAATAAAACTCACACATGTAAACGATTTCAGTATCTCATCTGATCATGTAAATAAGTTAAAATTCCTGTGCGTACAAACACTTGAATATTGGGATAAAAAGCATTCATAGTAGAGTTTTGCATGACTGTTCGGTCACACTTATTCATCAGATTTTCCTGCATCCGTATACAGCCTGAATTAGTCCTTAAATATTGTGTCAACTTGCATGTCAATAGTTTCTTGGTGTTATGCACACTATATACCCATGTATGTTAGGACACGATCGATTAACGGCAATAACCCACTGGTGATCAACTGATTTCCGAAGCAAGTCTTGGAGAATGGTGTTTCTCAACTATTCACTTACAAATTCGTTTACTTTTTAGACATGTCTTGTTAACAGATGATCAATTTTGTTTGATTGGATCATGAATGCTCTCAATATCTAGCACGTGTTATTTACTAACTTCATCAAATCCTAGCGATATATAAATATTTTTTGTAACAATTAATTACAGCTTATAGTTCCAACCAGATGTTTTTTTAAACTTAGACTATAATTTAAATATTTTGCCATCATATCACTGCTTAATAGCATATGTTTGATATAACATTTGATTAAATAATTTTCAATTTGTTTAAGTATATATTTAATGCATACTGATTAATTGAAATAACTAACAAATTACGCACAATGACATATTGGAATTTCGCTTCGAATTTGATTTATTTTTCTTCTTTATCCCTACCTCTACCTACACCACATAAATATCCTCTTCATGCATAGGGCAAATCACTTCATGATTGAATGGACAGCTTAAGAAATTACAGCAGTTCACATAAATATTGTCGATTGGACTAGTCTATTTATGTATGCATTTGGTGTATACGTGTGCACATATAAACAAAACAAAAAATGAAGAGATTTTTCTATTTTCCAACGACTCTATCATTATAAATGATAGATAAATAGGGAAATTTTCCTTACTGAGTTTAATAGAATAAGTACAAATTAAATGAGTAAACAAAAGTACATGTATTCTATGATCTGTATTTACCGACATGTTTTAATGTACAAGTGTTATCATTCTGTTTCAATTAAAAGTTGCCTGACTGAATTGTTTTTCCTAGATATATTAGAAACAATCATAAAAAATAAACCAGAATGACAAAGAATAAATAAACCATTTGGATTATGTTGAAGACATGAATAAACGTTGAATTCTTCTTACTAGCTTTCTTTCAATAACTCTCATATATGAAAATTTTTCATGAATGAAATTCCTAATCTTAACAATATTATATTAGAAAAATGTTTTATTTCAGTTTGGGTTCGACTTAATGAAATAATCATAGCTAGAAAATTTACTATTGGAACTTCAATAATGACTTATAAAATGTGTACAATAGCAATTATCTTTTCAAAATAAGTCATTTGATTGATATAGTTTGTGGTGTATACTCTTTTCTTAGTGCCCAAATGTACCAACATATATATATATATATATGTTTTAAATAAAGATTGAAACTACTATTTACTTATTCCTTCAGCGTGTTTCTATTAATATTAGTGATTCTTATTTTTAATCTGTATGAAAAGGTTATTACTCACAAAATTTATCTCGAATAATTTCAACGAAGAAATATATTTCTTGCAATTGTTTCGTTGTCAAAAGCTATGCATTCATATTTAAGTGAAATAACCAATATTATGAGTAGGTTTTTATGTTAGCATTCTTGTTTATGACGAATGAAACTTTTGAATTTCAATTCGTACTGCTAGGTAAAATATGCTAGGAATCGAGTTATCAGGGTGACTGAAAAAAAGAATAATGACTAGAAGTCTAAAGACAATTGTCAAGGCTGTCACTTTGATGAGCAAAGGGAATACACCCAAGCATTTATAAGTTAAGTAGCTTACGCAAAACAAGAAATATGACTCATATATTTACATAAACTGAAGTTTGCTCACAGTAGCTTTTGATGAGGAAAATCATTTCCGAATTTTGTGTTGAAAAATATTAGTCACGTCTTCATAGGATCATTTCAGGAAAAAAATTAATTTAAGGGTAAGTTTAATCAAACTGACATGGCGGACTTTTGAGAATATTGATCACCTTGTAATTACCGTACTGCAAATAAAAATTAATCGAATGTACACCAATCACTCCACATAGAATCGAACCTAGTGTCTAGAATACTAACATTCTGGTTTCTAGTGATAAAGCGGTGTTTTAAATTCTAAAAGTTTTTAGTTCCATCTCAAGTGAGATTATTTATGTTCGATGACAGCAAAAAAATAAATCTTTAGTCCCATCTCCCTTCAGCAATCGCTGTTACAATCGTTTTAGAAAAATGCTGTCTTCAAAATAACTAACTCTCCACAAATTCATGATTTAGCTGATGAACATTCATGCTCTTAGTAACTGCTTGGAAAATTTATTACAACTATACATTAAATTTTATTTGTCACTGATTTACAAGTTTAATCCAAAGAATATTCTGAAACTACAATAAGCATATGTTGGTAGCATTAATTATAAAGTCATCCACCTGAGATACAAATTTTCTCCACCATCTAAATCACACTACTTTTAATTTAAAAGTAGCTTCAACGTAACGGACGAAACTTTTGTTGGCCGTAAAATATTTTGATGAAAAATCGCTTTTTCAGCTGTATACTTAGTACATCATAAATTTCTCAGTACCAATCACATTTCTAGAATGGACGGTCCGGTGAATTAGCTCATAATTATACAATCAATATTAAAAAGTATTAAGCAGCTGCTCATTAATGACATTGTGGAGTAGGTAAATCATCTTAAAATGTAGATATTGTATGCATATAAGTATTCACACACCTGAAGGCTTTTTAAAGCCGGACTTTTTACTGGTTATGTTCCTACAGGTTCCAAAGTAAGGAAATGACTTGAAAATAAATTTGAACAGTATGTAATCTAAAGTATGAACTTATTTCTTATAAAAAATAATAATCTACAATGTCTACTAGATTTAGACAATACTATTGATAATGAATCAAAACAATTTGATATAGTTAATGTACATGGAAGTCGCATTACAGCCAATTAGGAAAAACCATTGCCAAATTAAATATTTACTCACAAGCATAATCGACCAATTTATTTATATCATACATATATGTACACAGTTGTTAGTTTTATTTTTGTGATGGAAAAAGAATTAAAGAAACTCGCTGGGAATTCCATATCATACTAAATAAACTATAGTGAATAAAGCCATTGATAGTAATATTATTCATTTTGAATCACAAAATATTTCATGCCAGACTGTACAAATTAATAAAGCGTTTTCAGTGACATTTTTAGCGAATCAGTTGGAGTAGCTAACCCCATGTCCAACCCTCCAGCTTTATCCGGGGATTAGACTGATATTAAGCCCAAAAGGGCTCCAGCAGGAGTTATAATGTATAAAATATGGAAAAAATTTGTCAAAATACAATTAATCAGTAAATAGTTTATCAAATATTTAACTCGACATTTTGTAATTATTTTATAAATTTCCATAGTATTGTTGAAAGTATCAACATTACTAAGTTACTGCTAATATAGAGCTAATTAAAACTGTTCGAATAAAATGATTATATATATATATATATATATATATATATATATATATATATATATATTTGAGATTTCATGTGTTGTTTAATAATTCTTTTCTCAGTTTTCGTAGTAACTGAACTGATATAAGAGAATCTTATATCGGATTATTTATTACAAATTATGTTAAGCTTCACATTTTTGTCAATGATTTTATTGTAACAGTCAGTTAAAAAGTCATTTTACTTTATTAGATTTTGTTTATTTGTTGTCATAAATTAGATTTAAGAGTGTTTACTAAATTGACTTCAGCCACACTTCGATGAATTCATTTTTTCCATTTCTTCTGTGATGGTAAAAACTAATTAACCGCATGCAACGACACCAGAGAATGTTACGTCTGTTACTTTTCATAAACCATAGGCTGCTGACCAGGATTTTCCAACCAACTCTGTCCTAACCTCTTTTTTCCAGTTGTTTCCAATGGCTATTCATCCTTTTCATTAGTCTCTCCAATTCTTTGTGCAATGTGTTCTTTGATATGCTTCTTTTCTTTTGCCTTGAGGATTCCAAGTGTGGGTTTGTTTCCTGACGCGTTCGGGTGATTTCTGCAACATGTATCTTATTCACTTGCAGCACCTTCCTTTGATTTCTTTCTCAGATAGAAGTTGGCTTTTTCTTTGCCACAGTATGTACTCTGGCTAACTGGTCTGCGGTATCTTGCATAGGCAACAGATGATAAATACATGTACACTATTGATGACGGTCGTAGTATTTCTCTAAGTTTAAGCCTCATGCAGTAGATCCGTCCTGACGTTCGGATTGAAAATTCTGACTTGCTATTGGTTAAAATTGGTTTTAGTTCCACAAGTTGTTCAGTTATAGAAACGACACCCTTGCTTTGTCAATCCGTGCTTTTACGTCTGTATCGGATTTCATTTGTTTATTAATTATACTATCCAGATATGTTAAAGATCCCACAATTTTCTGAGCTTCTCCATCAAGTGCGAGAATATACGTTCTTATATTAGTTTTAAAATTATCTTTATTTAATCTCAGTATTAGCGGTTTATAAAAAGATATGTATATATGCACGACTCCGCCTGGAGCCCCTCTGAGGCTACCGCCGTTACCAAGCCCGGATAAAGGATGAGGGTTGAACATGGGGTTACG